TATGATCTGGACCCCACTCCAGAGAATAGGACTGCGATGCGCCGCTGCCATGCCGATTACCAGCTCCGACTCCTTATGGAGGAGGATTTCTGGAAGCAGAAGGCGGCCGTTCGCTGGGTGGCCGAGGGCGAGCGGAATACTAGGTTCTTCCAGGGTTTCGTTAGGCAGAAGCGTGCTAAGTCGCACATCCACAGTATTGAGACTGATGGGTCATCTCTGACCCAAGAGTCTCAGATTCGGGAGTCGGCTATTGCCCACTTTCAGACCCTTTTTACCTCCGACAGAGGGGCTTTCGATGCCCCGATCGCTTCCTTCTTTCCCACCATTCCTCCTTCGGTCGACCTCGTCGGCCTTTGTGAGCTCCCGAGCAGGGAGGAGGTTAGGGATGCTGTCTTCGGGATTGATCCCAACAGCGTTTCTGGCCCTGATGGGTTCTCTTCTCTCTTCTATCAGGTCTGCTGGGATATTGTCGAGCCTGATGTTGAGGAGGCAATGTTGGATTTCTTCTCCGGTCACCGGATGTCGGATTCCTTCACGTCGACCTCTGTCGTCTTGATTCCCAAAAGACCCAATCCGAGTTCTTGGTCCGACTACAGGCCCATCAGCCTATGTAACGTGACCAATAAGCTCATTTCGAAGATTCTTAACGGCCGCCTTTCCCCTCTTCTCCCCTCCCTCATCTCTCCGAACCAGAGTGGTTTCGTCAAGGATCGGGTCATTAGTGATAATATACTTTTGGCCCAGGAGATGATCCACGATATCTCCCATGCGGATTGGAAACGGTCACTGAACGTTGCGCTCAAGCTAGACATGGCTAAGGCGTATGATAGGGTGGAGTGGTCGTTCCTTAGGGAGGCACTGGCTAGGATGGGATTTCTTGAGCGGTGGATCAGTTTTTTTGAGGCGTGTGTGGAGCACTGCACGTTCTCGGTTCTGGTTAATGGTAGCCCCACCGATTTCTTTCCCTCCTCTAGGGGCCTTAGACAGGGTGACCCCCTTTCCCCATTCCTTTTTGTCCTTGCGGCGGACTACCTCTCTCGCTGCCTTGACGGCTTCATCCGCGACTATCCAAGGATGACATACAACACCCGTGGCTATGGTTTTCCCATCTCGCACCTTTCTTATGCGGATGACATCATCATCTTCACCCGAGCGGATG